TTTCAGCAGATTGCCCAGTGCTTCAGGCAAATATTGCTCTTCTGCGTTGATGCCAGCTAAGTGGAATAAATGGGAATGGAAGGCCTACCATTCCAAACTGATTCCAGTCCGGAAACAGAAGAGGAATAGGATAGGTCGAGTAAGTTGGCACCACCGGAGGAGTGAAGCCATAGCAGCTGGCAGAAGTAGCATAGCTGGCCTCTTCGGGATCATCTGGGAGTTCTGGCTGTCGCACGATCACACTCGGATGCTGTGGCTGACTCTGGCCCGGTTGCTGTTGCTGTTGTGATGGTGCTGGGGTTTGGTAGAACTGCTGATCGGGGCCGTTGGCAAACATGAGTAAGTGAAGATGATTAAGGGATTCGAGTCAGCAGCAACGAGTGACTGAGCCAGTGACGGAGCAAATGATTCGACGACGACGACGACGACGACGGCAACGGCGACGACGACGAGTTCTTCTCTTCAGATGACAGCGTCTAATATCGATAACGATCGCCAATGGATTGATCGCGCACACACAGACACGCTCCAGTCGCGCTACAGTATCCGCCGAGCATAGGCTTTTTGCACCGCCCACACCGTACAGTTCCGTCGGGATGCGCGACGTGGGAGAGAGTGTGGATAGTTATGACTATGGGGGATTATCGTGTCATGGATACGATGATATGTAGAGATGCCGCCGTGGCGAAAATCCTTCCGCTAAATATGGCGAGGTTCGCAAAGATACACAAGTGAAGGTGTGAATAATCGTGAACTTTTCTGGCACACACAAAGCACGCCGCTCGTGCTCATCTACGCCTGGCGAATCATCGCTGATGGCCAATTAGAACAATCTAGGGAGAGTTTAATCGAGCACGAAATTGGTTAATGAAGTCATCAGACGTGTAGCAAAGTACTTCCTTATGCAAACTGCTCCTATTTCCAAAAGAGCAGAGGCTCTCAAGACTTTGTTCAGAATTTTCAAGGCTACAGTCTCTGTAAATTCTGACTGGGTCGAGTAAAGTAAGCTACTCTCTGCACATCTTCTGCTGAGATGCGCTAGCTGATGAAGAAGAAGGCAGGCCGAACAAAGCATGACTACATCAAGGTTTGAATCAGAAGTAAAGCATTATCTGAAACTGAATATTTTTTCTCTCAAAGATATAAACGCTGGTCAGTGAAGCTCTTTTCTAAACAAGACTTCCCGTTTTTGAAA